CCTTTTGCGAGCTTAAATTTGCCCTTGTTCTTAACTGTTTACTGTTAATGCTACTAAGATACAGATTGTTGCGACTTTGGCTTGCGATGATACTATTGAAGGTGATATTGCGCTTTTGTTTATTTGCATGGAGCCTAAGAGAGAGGGTGAGTACTTGAGCGGGTGAGCTAATCGGCACCGTCATCAAGCCTTTTCAAAGGGCTTCAAATTGCAGAGAGGCAGTTAGTGCTCTTCCATGTGTCGTCTTATACCTTAAAATTGGAGGACTCGCGTGGAAGACGATGATCATTATAACCGCGTTCGAAGAAGAAAAAGGATATTCACATCGGCTCACTTCTGACTCTTATTTTTTCCAGGGGAAACATAGCGTAGATCGTAATAATAAGTCTTGATTCAAGCCCTTTGCCTATATCACGATCCGGCACCGCTAGAACACAGAAAGAGGAGACTTGTTATGATTTTCAATCCAAGAGCCCGAGAAAAAAAAGAGCGTAGTTTTTCGCATCTGAAATGCCGATTTTGGAGTACTCTCATTGCCACCATTCCCTTCCACCTTGCGTCCTCTGCCCTGGCACACCAATCCAGCTTCCCTCTTCTTGCACCCAACATCCTCTGAACTCCCTGCTCAACAGTACTGGTGCTAGCGGTAGAGGCACCCCATCTGGGAACCCTTAGCATGCGCCAGGGTCAGCACTACTTGAACATCAGCAACGGCCCCGAAACTACAGTATCGAATATTTATATATCGAGTCGCTTACCGGAAGTGCCAGCCTGCAACTACAGAATCACCACCAAGATCACACTCAAAGATCAACCTGTTCAATTCTTTTTCGCAATCGCCGTCTCCCAGATCGAAACCAGACTCTCGGTTGAGGTTCTCGACGATGAACAACAATCCTAGCCTCCCGGATTGAGGACACATTGACTTGAGCTGGTGTGCCTGGTAGAAACCGGTGAACATACCGCCGTTCTTGTGACAGGCGTCGTAGACGAAGCCGCGTGCCTGCTCCTTGTTGGGCCAACCATCGCCGCTGCCGTAGCAGCTCGCCGAAGCTAGACTGAAGAGCGAGGTCAAACTGACGAGGACGGTGGTGGTTAGTTTCATCTTGGCGGAAGGTAAAGTTTTGGGAGTTTTGCGATTGAGATAAGAAGATGGATGATGAGGGAACTGAAGAAAAAAAAGGGACGAACAAACAGCGTCCTTTTATACCTTTTCCCGTCGTCTTCCCCGCCGGTTGATCCGTTCTTCTTTCGAAGTAGGCTGCACGCTCTAACTTAGCGCTTATTCTGTCTCTGAACCTCAGTTTTTCATTCTAGAGTCGAGTGACACCGCACTCCATCTCACTTTTACGTGAAATTCGGGCAGTTTGAGACTTCGCTTCGCTGATAGGCTATTTTTACGACTTCTTCCCTGTTATTCGTTCGTTCGTCTAGACGTTACGAGGAAGATCGCATTCTGTGTGCATCCTGATCGAATTAGCCTCGACCCTGAGAAATGGATTGATCGTCTCGCGTGCCGAAGCTCGGAATGCCAAAACCTCACCTAGGTGATCACGGTATCTGAGCAACCTGTCGCACATCCTCACATAAGATTCGGAAAGCCAGATCATACGCTGTATGTAATAGAGGTACGGTGCTGATGTTGGTAACCTCGTCAAGCAGCTAGGCACGGTGAAGATGCTCCAGTCTTTGTTACTTTTCGAAATGAGATGAGGGGGATTTCCAGACTTAATGCACCAGAAGCGAACCTACACACACCGGGTACGCGTGACATATATGTACGTAACGACCCCTCTGTACGAAGATTGATTGACCTCCTCCTAGAGTGCCCATATCTCGTCTGGAGGTGAGATCTCGTACTGCAGCAATTGGCACGATATGATATGGAGTTGGGAGAATAAGCTCGGTAAATTTTACCTATGTACTATATCTTGAAAATCACAGAGACCCTATGCCTCTCTTTCTGCGTGGACGGAAGGAGACAACAGGCTAGAAGCTTACTTCAACAACGTCAATAACACCATCGATGCCGGAGGAGGGATTCGCGACCCCAATCGTACGGAAATGGGGACATGTCTGGTATTTTTTTCTTATCTGATCAGCCAAAGTGAAGGAGCCATTTCAATTCATTCCTTCCTTGCCGCATCCGAGCTTAGGATGATACATTATAAAATAATCTTATGTTTTCGCTTAAAGTAGGCGAGCGGGTTTTCTCCAGCGCCTGAATAAGGGAATTCTTATCTCAGGGGCATCAGACTAATGAAAGTCCTCTCTCGTCCTCGAGGAATCATAACGAACATGTACAGTTCTATAAAACTTGAAGGCCTACGGACGGTAGAATATTCATAGCGAGTCACCGATATCTTAATTATGAATGAAAATACTCCTACTCCAGGCTTGGCGTCGCGATGCTTGTTTTGTTGTGTTTTGTTTCTGTTTTGTTTTACGGACTTCCAACTACGTACAGACCTCTCTCCTTCTTAAGAGGGCCGGTTGGGAAGCAGGATAAATTGTACCGAAATACAAATACGGTATTAGCATGATTTTATTTTCCGTAGCTTTTCTCTCTCCTCTCCTTCCTCTTCCTTTCTTTCCTCCTTCTTTATATTTTTTCTAGACACGACGGACAACCTCCCCTCCCACTTCCAGGAGCGGAAGGAATGAACGAAAAAGGCAAACTTTTTCATCCCGTCGGCTTCGGCGCACTTATGTACCAACCTACCATTTTCTCATCATGATCATCCATGTCATTAGGCCATCTTCCCACTTCCCACTTTCTACTTCCCACGTACCGCTTCCCCGCCTTATACCATCTTAAGCGAAGCCGACGCGGGGAAAACACTCATATCACTCGGCAAAGAAAGTAAACAAGGGCAGGGAAGTGGAGATTAGTGTATGTACCACCCCATAGTCCCGTTATAATAGAGCAAAACAAAAATGTAAAAAAGCATATAGAGACTTATCTTTCCGATCTACGGACACTGCCGAACCAGGTCAGGGTCAAAATCAGGATCAGCAGGAAGATCGATAGTCCATGTATGTATGTATGTCCCCATCTATCCGCCCTGCTTTACGGAGGTACAGCGGTTATATATTCCGATCCACTACGGAAACTAGCTCAATGGAGTAATGCCTCTACGGTCCTTCGCATAAGCTAAGGATGCGTGGGAAAAGGTCGGCGAATTCGAATTTTAAGCGCTAGTTGAGAGTACGCCGGAGGGTTATCGGGCTGTAATCGAAGCTGATGGAAACTGATTACATATCAAAATGAGAATCCTTTTCTACAGAGTACGTATTGTATTGTCGCGTCCAGCGACACGACGCGGAGGACCGTAGAGGTTTTTCTCGATTAAGCTAGTTTCCGTCGTGGGTCGGAATACATAACCGCTGTACCTCCGTAGTCAGAGGCTCCGAGCTGGTGGTAAACGCAAAAAAGGTAGGTATATTCAATTCGATAATAGGGTACGGTACGGTACGGTGCAGTGCGGAATCACCGAGATGGGATATCTATCGATGACATACATACAAACATACCCACACAGCTCTGCAAGGGTGATGCGTTGTGAAGTATTGATTACTTCAACGCATAGAGAAAGAGTACAAATAGCAAGCTGCAGATGGGCACTTCCAGAAAATCCCAGGAGAAGCCGCTCATTCTTTCTCAGACCAAAGTTCATCATTATCAGTCTCTCGTCCCCCCCCTCCTCCCCCGGCTGATCTTAGACTGTTCCAGTCCGTTCGTTTGCACTTCCGAGTCCGATTTCCCTGAAACTAGCTCGGTCATGAGAGCCGCCATTCTCTTCTTGGCTGTGGCCTTAAGCCTCGTGGGTAGCGGCGCTTATGCGTCGAGGAACCGCACGCTGGATGCCTTGGTAGCCGAGTCCAGCGCCAACATCATGGCGATCCTCGAGGCGAGGTTGGCCGATGCCTCGGCGACGTGCACATCCCAGAACGTGGTCATCCGCAAGGAATGGCAAGTGACCCTTCTACCACGGGCCAGAGACAGATTGGACGCTGACGGCAACGCAAAATTGAATGGCTGGTTGACTGACCGACTGACTGACTGGTTCCAGGTCTGCCATCTCGTCTGCCGAGAAGCTGAGCTACATTGCGGCCATCAAGTGCATGCAGAACAGCAGTGCCATCACCCCCGTGTCCGCCGTCCCAGGAGTCCGCAGCCGCTTCGATGACTTCGCTGCCCTGCACATCAACCAGACCACGACCATCCACTGGACCTCCGTCTTCTACGCCTGGCACAGGCAGTACACCTGGCTGTACGAGAAGGCCCTGCGCGAGGAGTGCGGCTACACCGGGTACCAGCCCTACTGGGACTGGTCGTCAACGAGCACGCACGCCGCCCACCCGCTCTTCGATGGCAGCGAGACGTCCATCTCGGGCAACGGCAAAGCCGTCGCCCACAGCAGCTACGTGCTGATCCCCACGCCGACCGTCATCAACTCCACCGCGACGTCCGGCACGGGCGGCGGCTGCCTGACCTCCGGGCCCTTCGCCAACTTCACCATCAACCTCGGGCCCTTCGGCGCCCCCGTCCAGGACGGCTTCGCCTACAACCCGCGCTGTCTCACGCGCGACTTCCGCGATGGCGTCCTGCCGGCCAGCCTTTCCTACGACAACGTCACGCTGGCCCTGTCGCAGGACGACCTGCAGTCCTTCACGAACCAGATCGAGGCCGGCACCGCTCTGCATAACAACGGGCATACGACGACGGGAGGCGTACAGGATGACCTGTGGGGCAGCGCCCAGGATCCCGTGTTCCATTTCCATCATGCGCAGGTGGATCGCGTGTGGACCATCTGGCAGGGCTTGAACCAGACTGTCCGGACGCTGGAGATCGCTGATACCATGACCATTAAAGATTGTAGGTTGCATTGCCCCCCGACTCTCGCTTAGAATCCTGCAAGCGAGGGAGAGTAAGTGAGTGCGTTGCGTGCGTGCTGACGTTGAGATAATAGCGCCGCCGTCTGCTGCAGGAAACTTGGACTCGGTTATCGATATGGGGTTCTTGGGTGAGCAGTCGACCATTGGAGATTTGGTCTCGACTATTGATGGGCCGTTCTGTTACATCTACGCTTAGATGGTGTGACACCACCACGGAGTGATTTAATTTTTAATTTTTACCTGTCTTTAGACGAATTGGCGGTAGCGAAAGCTGGGTGACGGAAGAAGTGAGTCGAATTTCTCGTACCTGATATATTATGCTATGCAGACGAAGTAATAGCATTCAAGCTTCACCTCAGACCTTCAGGCTCGTCCATTCTGAACTTGACTTCATAGCCAGACGCAACAAGTAGAAACAAGCCCACGAAGATGGGCGAAAGATGTTGGAAATCCGAGTTGGCTCTGGCGAGGTATACAGCCCCCTTTCTTGGACTGGGTATGTGTGTGTGTGTATCGCCCGGCTTTTTCGACCGCAGAAATCGACTGCTTTTCCTCCCTCTGATTATCCAAAAGAACACTCACCTGGAGCGGTGCTTCCATCAAGCCATCTGCGCTGCATGTTCGGGGAGGAAGCGGAACCAGGGAAAGGTAAATAATAATAATATTAATAATAATCGATTTATTCATCAAAGCTTGAACCCAACGCTGAAATTATGCGTCGCTCCCCCCTCGACTGCCACATTCACATAGCCCTTGTCCGTGTCGCCCTGCACAGCTTGCGAGTCAAAGTACACCGAATTCGTCTTGTCCCCCCTCGGCACGCTCACCACTCCTCTCGTACCCGCCGGCCCAGTCACTTGCAGATAGAACAGTCCCGCATCGTTATGGTTCCAGGAGACTTTGATCGGACCCTTGGGCGTCGGCACAAGGCCCTTTGCCCACCTGACGTCGCCTGGGATGGGCTTCACGGCCCAGGTTGAGAAGCCAGGGCCGGAGGGCATGACGCCAAGGACGTAGTTCGTCAAGGCTGGGACGACGCCTGTTCCCCAGCCGTGCGCCATGGACGTGAAGCCATCCTCGTAAGGCTCGCCCTTCGGGCCGATGCCTTCCCACATCGTGATCTTCGGGTCGTGGGTCGACATCCACCCGTACAGCCGTCTGATCTCTTCCAGAGCAGAGGCGGCTAGCCCCGTCCTGAACCGGGCTTCGATCTCAAAGTACGAGATGAAAGCATAGACGCGCTGAGAGAAAGGCCCGAGGAGATCATTATCGTAGAAGGCGTTGCCGTACGGACGCTCGTGGTTGGCGGAGAGGTAAGCGAGGATGGATTCCGCTCGCGTAGAGTTCGCTACGCCGCTGACGATGCTCAGACTGTTGCCATCCTGAGCGTGGGTCTGGCAGAATGCCTTTCCACAGGTACCGTCGTAGAAGGCGCCGGCTTTGGGGTCGAAGTTCCCGTCCAGCGCTTGGGAGACTTTGCGAGCTCGTGCTGACCAGCGGGAGACGTCTGCTTCGTGGCCGAGGTATCTGGCCATAGATGCGGCGTTATCGAGCGCCATCACGTAGAGTGCGTTGTAGTAGGTGACTGGACCGGAGCGAGGGAGGAAGGCGTAATCACCATAGCCACCCGTTCCACCAAGGCCTTTTCTCAGCAGTCCGGTGGCTGGGTCAGTTGTTGATGGGTAGAAGGTGTCCAGCACCTTGACGAGGTTTGGATAGTAGTTGGTCACGTATGCCGTGTCGCCCGTATACATGAAGAGATCGTAACTACAGGCAACCCACCACAAGGGGTAATCGTATAGTGGCAACGTGTAGCTTTGGATGCTCGCCGGAGGAAGCCACCCATCCGCCCGCTGATGATCCGCAATATCAGCAAGCACGTTTCTGGTGGCTGCCGCAACGCTGTGACTCAGGTAAGAGGTTCTCGAGGCAACGGCGAGGTCTCCAACATAAGGATCTCGATCTCGATTCGCGCCATCGTGAAGAACCAGCTTCCCCATGAGCGTCGGGCTGCCTGCACCTCGAGGATCGGTATCGTTTTCTCGGAACGTGTCGATACACAGGTCGTTGGTATATACCCCGTCGTACCACCACTGATTGAGCTGATCGTCGGAGCTCTCAAACCAGCCGGTGAAGGTATTCGGGGTGCCCAGGAAGCCCGTGAACTCCAGGCTCATGGAATCGATGTTGACCTGGCCATAGGAGGAGGTGTAGGGTGCATCGGCCGGAAGAGCATCCAGATAGATTTTCATATATCTGAATCCATGGAGGCCGTCGGCACAGACTTGGTCGCCAAACTCGCAGCCATATTTGTCCGTCCAGGTATATGGTGTCGGACGAACCGCGATCTGTCACGTGTTAGCCATCACGTGCCAAATTATTGTCACGTGAATGTTAGTATCGTTACTCGAGCCGAGCCGAGCCGAGCCGACTTCCTCGAGAGGTCCTTACTTGATCGCTTCCAGGAGTTATGGTTTGTCCCTACGATACGTTCTATCAGAAATGCGTCCTCCCATTTTACATATTGACATTCATATCAAACCCACATTATCCGATCGCGAAAAGTCGCTTCGATTGCTGAGGAACTGCAGCGTTTCCGAGAATGCCAGTCTAATACCTGGAAGCCCTGGGGTGGTATTGAACGACCCTCCAAACTTGATGGACACAAAGCCAGCCATGTTCTGGCCCCAGTCAACAACGACGGCTGGTGGAACGTCAGACGCGTCTGCCGCCATCGACGCGCTCTTCGGCAGTGTCCTGGTCAGGATCGTCGATCCCTTGCCCGTGAGAAGACCCTCGGCATTGGTGACATTCCCCCGTGTGAGAGTCCCGAGCACGCGGCTTGGTCGTACAACCGCACTCGGGGGAGAGCGTACATACTTCTGCCAACTCTCGCCTGTGCCAATGTCGATGAGTGGCCGCTGGTCCTGCCATTGATAAGAGCCCGCGAGAGTAGGGGGGGCTAAAACCAGCAATGGAAGAAGGCAGGTCAATATAACGAGCATAATCGGGATTAAGAATGTGAGGCTACATTGATGTTGGCGATGCGGAGGCGTTGATATATAGGTATGGGTACTTGTTAGGCTTCGATTTACAGAATACGGCTTGGAATGCGCTTACGGAGAGGGTGCACGGGCGAAGGGTGGAGCCTAAGCCGAAACACCATGGAGGTGTCATCATCCCATATCGTGTGATCGGAATAAGACGAAGAGGCTTGAGCAACGGCCGGGCAAATTATGATCAACATCGCCCATCACGAGGGGATGGATGCTTTGCCGAAAGCGATCAGTGACCTTCTTCCTTGCCCCTGCAATATTCACACTGCTCTCGCTCAATCCTTCAACCAGGCATATATATGTTTCCCTCACCTCGCCCGCTTTCATCCGAGATCCGCTTAAGTCTTATTTGCGACCACGGAGTTTTGCAAACCAGCCTATCTATACATTACGGAGCAGAGTTGAATCTGGATAAATTTTTGCTGACGAGCTTTAACATCTGCTCAAGATATAATTACCCGCCAGCGGCAGCTTTTCCAAAAAAGAAAAAAAAAAGAGAATAAAAAAGAAGAAAAGTACCAAGCTAATAAAAAGCATCAACACATCACATCTCCAGGGCCATTACTGTTCAGAGACTCATCGTATTGAGGGACTACTAAGTACAAATTCATAATTGGTAATTGCAATCTAATGCGCTACTACCCCCCTGAATATAGTTGGACCCAGTTCAGCCCCATGAATCGTAGAGCGGTGGTTTCTGAATGGCTCAAAGCCTTGTCAACTCAATCGCACAGACTAAATACTTGCTTGCCTAAAGATACTTTCCAAGGCTTAAGTCCTATAAGCTTACCTTAAAGGCAGGTAGAGGGTTATTTAAATCGTCAGCTGACAATCCAATGACGGTTTCTTTAAACGATAGTCCTAAGAGGTTAGCATAGTTGATAGATCACCTGAGGCAGATACATGAGATTGAATAGAATCTGAAAACAAACGATTTAAATTATTTAAATCGTAACTAACACAAAATCATTTTAATCGATTAAACCGTCTTTTATAAGAGCTCATTTTTTCTTTGAAAGATTATCATTGAACCAAAACCGTTTTGATCGATTGGATCCGTCGCTTATAAAAGTCGGTCTTTTTATAAAAAGACCGTCTCCGAGCGTTTTGGGACCATTTCAAGACCGTCTTATGGCCGTCCTAAAGCCGGCCCCGAATTTTAAACCCTCTCGGAGGACTTAGATTAGTAAGCAAACGAATAGTAAAATATGCTTTTCAGCTCCCTTTTCCTTTAACTTGCCCCTTTCCTCTTTCTTACCCTCACCTCTCCCAGCCCTTGGTAAGCGAAAGAGCTGCACGGTAGTAAGTTCACATTTAATAGATCGATCGATTCTGATTATGAAGTCTTTAGAGCGTTGATATATAAGCCGTAGCAGCGATACCGAGAAATATCTTAGCATCGATTGTATTAAATTATTATTCAAACGATAGTATTAGAAAAACGGTTTTTGTATTTTAATCGTATTTCATTAAAATCGAGCATTAGATTATCTTAAATATTTGAAACGAATTCCTAAATAAACGTGTTTTAAAAATCTGGACGGGGACGGCTATAGGACGGCCATAGGACGGTCTTGAGCTCGGGGACGATCAAAAAGGTGAACTATTCTTGATTTGTAATTAATATTGATTTTAGACGGTCTAATTCCCTTTTTTTTATCAAAGAAGGTCAGAGGATCGCTCAAATAACCCTGTACCTGCCTTCAAGGTATTGGTCCAGCCCCTGGTAATAGCCCTTGCAAAATTACACTCTTGACATGTAGGTACTTGAGGAAGAGGGGGGGGGGAAGGCGGGGTAGTATTTATTCGCTGATTGATTTATCTGCATTGGATAAAAACAAGTCAATATTGACTTCAGCTGCAGCCGAAAAACGCCGATATCTACCTTACTTAGCAGGTAACTGAAACGGCATTTTCGAAATTTGAAGTTTGGGAGTTCAAAATACTCCGGAAAGATCTTCTGGGTAGGTATCTGTGCGAAGCTCGCTTTACTCCATTCGGATAAAAATTATTGCTAATGGCTTGCGCGAAAATGCGTCTCGGATAAGAGATTCGAAGTGAAGTATTCGTGATGTCGATAAATGTTCATGCGGGGTATACTCCGTATACGTAGATATCGCGAGGCCTGGATCCATACATTGATTCGTATACTTGTGAGTCGTTATTTATACTGCTTATGCATGATTCAATTTCGGGAGACGCTATGAATAATGAGAATGTTCAGCATTTTCGAGAAAGTGATGCGATATCCGCCGTATCGCTCCGTATGCACAGCCCGACCCCAGCCACGGTGCCAATGCCGCCGCGTGCGGCCAGATGCAGGTCGAGAAACATAGGTACATATCTAGAACGCCTCATCCTCCCCTCCCCCGGACATGAGAACGTCAGAGACTCGATATCGCGGAAGGAAGAGAGTTACGAAGCGGTCCCTAAGATAGTCCTACTACCATTGCCACCACCACCATCATGTCCACGATGCAACAACGCCTGCAGGCCGCCTCGGCGCAGAACACACGCCTGCTAACTCTCATCTCCGAGACCGAGTACGCCGTGTCGGCCTACCAACAAACGCAGGACTACATCCGCGACCTAGAGAGCGCCATCGCCGACGCCGAGAGGCGCCTGGCCTTGCTGGCTAAGCACGTTGACAAGGAGTACGCGGAGCACCGGAAGTTCCGGGACTCGCACATGCGGCGCCTGGCAAGCCGGATCAGCGGCCGGCGGGAGAAGTTCCAAGAGGAGGCGTCTCGGGAGGAGAAGGAGTGGCTGGACGCCGTCGCGACGCAGCTGAAGACGCGCCAGGGCCGGGACCACCTGCGGGCCCGAATGGCCGAGGCGGAGGGGACGAGCGAGGAGTTCCGGCGCGCGGTGGAGGCGCACGAGCAGGCGGCGCGGGAGCTGGACGCGCTGTACCACTCGCTCTTTGGTGGGCCGACGCCCGAGATCCCCGAGGAGGACGAGCGGGAGCGGGCCGTGCTGGAGGCGGAGGCCCGGTATAACGAGGTGGGCTTGGTGCTCAGCCGGGAGAAGCAGGCCCGGGACCTCCTGCTGGAGGCCAACGCGTCGCTGAAGCGCGCGTTCCGCGATTTGCAGGAGGTCGAGAGCGACGCGACCATGGACGTCTGGGGCGTGGGCAGTAGCTCGTTTGCCGAGCTGGCGGAGAATAGTGCCCTGAGCCGGTGCCAGCGCCACGTCGCGCAGGTGGAGCTGCTTGTCTCGCAGGCTCAGCGGATCCAGCCGGCAATGGGACGTGTCGGGCCCATGACGATTGCGCAGATGGATTTCTTGAGCAGCGCGGTGTATGACAACATCTTCTCCGACATGGATATGCAGGAGAGGATTCGGAGCTCGATGCTGCAGCTGCAGAATGCACAGGCGGAATTGCATAGGGAGATCGGGGCGAGTGATAGGCGGAGGGACGACGTGAAGAGGTCGTCGGATGAGCTGAAGACGGTGCTGGGCCGGAAGAGGCTGGAGCTGCAGACCGTCCGCCGGGAGGCATTTGAGCAACTGGCGACTTTACCGCCGTATGCTGCTGAGCCGCCACCTTATGCATGAGGGGGGAGGAACGCCGCAGCAGAGGGCTGCCAGCAGATCCTGTCTTGGAGAATGCGTAGTGTGTGGGCGAGAGGAAGATGATCTCTGATCCGATCTCCGAGCTGTGTCTGTTTGCTTCCCAGTTTGACTGTCTGAGCATTCAGCAATATTGTTCGCTGATGGCAACTTTGCCATTGCGATGCAGACGGGGTTTGCAGTGTCATCAACAACTGCGGAAACTGATGCAGTTGTACACCAAAGAGCTCGCAACTGCGCTGCAGATTGGAGTTGCAACTGCAGAAGCCGAAGATGTGGGAACGCTTTACTTCCATGTCGACTTGGCCTTTGCAGCATCAGTGAAACTTCTCCACTTCGGATACCGATAAAATCCGATAAAATCCACTCTGGGGGTAACCGGCGAGGAAGCAATTCGGATTGAAGAGCTCTTGGAATCGTGATTTCTTGAGAGGCCCAGTGGCTGGGGCATTGAGTGAGACGGGGGCGAGGGTTGTGAGAATGGGGAAATTCGGGTGTTTCTGTGGAAAATAGCAATAGGAGGGCTCAGAGCAAGGATTTTGAAGTTAACATCGTAAGGGATGGAAGGAAAGGTTCTCTCATTTCGAGTCATTATCGGGATATCGTATCTGACTAGCTGGCCTAAGCCTTGGTGGGGGGGAATGTAGAGGCGGAATCCCGAATACAAGATGTACCGTACATGGAGAATATACAAGAAAAACCATCTTAGGTGCTGTCTAGACCCTCTTAATCCCACGACACAGTAGGTTGAATGTCTCCCGGATGCTCGTAGACCTCCGTCGGCAAGAGTTTCGGCTCTTGCCTCTCCATCCTGTCAGACCCAACTTTCTTTGTGATCTCCGGAATCATATGATGCATCTTCATGACCCTGAGTTGGTCCTAGGTCTCGTTAACGACATCCAGCAGAGATGTTTCAGCCCACTTACCAGATAATTCGACTCCCGTATTGCATCCACATACTAAATAGGTGTCAGCAAACAGTGGTAAATAAGAGAGCAATGCATCTTACGCCTTGGTCTACCGTCCCTCTCTCTGCTTCTTCTTCGAGTTCGGCTAAAAGATCCCTACTAGTATAATAATTGTTCACAGCAAAGTTCAGTGCGTCCGTTAGGTCGTACCCAGCTCGACACATCGCCTCCAGCGAGATGTAGGTGCAATCGTTGAAGTCTTTTGCCATGAAATCGAGGCTCAATCTTCTCTTCATGACAGCGAAATACAGGTACGAGTAAGGTAGAGCCACGAACCAGAGGCGCTTGAGGAAGAAAGAGGTGACGATGAGCTGAACAACTGGAAGTACGGCGGCCTTTTCAAAGTAGAAATGGCTGGTGTCTACAGCAAGTGAATTCATAGTCACCCGTGCGATTGCACCGCTTAGCATCATTGCCATGCCAGCTTCATCGTATGCTGCATGGAGGGATCCGCTGTACACCACTACTTGCCTGTCCAAGCTGGCCACGCAAGCAGCAATGGCTATGCCGTCAGCACACCTGAACGCTATATATTATGGGGTGAACCACACTTACAAGGCGCATTGACGATATGTAGTTTCCACAAGCTCGGGTCGTATCCGCTGGCTTCTAGCAATCTGATCCAGATTTTTCTCACCACCATCGATGTAGGATGGTCTTCAGGCCAAAGGATTCCAGGTTCTTGTGGAGCTATCTTATTCACGATAGCATGAATATGCTTTACGTGTATGTCCCATTCTGCTTCATGTCGTAGCATCCACTCGCGAGGAATGATGTTGAATTGCTTGCCTCCTACGACCGGGATTTCTTCTTGAAACGTGACCCCTAGGTGAACGAATTAGTATGTATTTGAGCATTGACACCCCTTCTTAACAGCAGAATTATATATTATTAAAGATATTATCAATGCGATATGCGATTTGAGACAGAGAGCTGACTCTCGGATTTGCTAAAGCACTTACATATGAGCCCCATCGACGCGGCCATGAACGTCGCCATTAACCCAGACCTCTGCGCCCATTTTCTTCTCCTTACACCTCTTTGGTCTTGGAAATATTCTTTGTACCCCCCTTGCGTTGGCTGACCATAAATGCCACGAGGTTGTCCATATTGGTTGTGGTATCCCGGAGCTTGTCGCCGTCGGCCAAAGTGCAGCGAAGAATTGTTATGGCGGGTTAATGAACCAGTAGATAGAACTGGTGCGCTCCTCCATCGGGAACCAACAAAGCCAGTTCGACTGAGCATTGTGGCGGAGGTGGAGAGAGATTGAGCTGGTAGGATTGGCTTGGACTGGAAAGTCGACGAGGTTGCTGGGAGACGCGTTTTTTTCTAAGCCTTGTTGTGGGACAGTCACGTGTGTCCCACGGTAGCTGTGGCTGGTGTCCGCGTCGGTCAACTGCCTCGAAAGAAAGGGACAATGTGGTCCAGCCGATGCTGGAAAAGAAGGGAGATGTCCATCCTCGTGGTCTTTTTTTTCCCCTTCTTTTTCGTCTTCATTATTTTTTCTTTTTCCATTTCTGTCATGATAAGAAAACTCCATGTCTCGTAGGAAGATTCAAGTGATGCAAAGCCACGAATTAAATACTTAGCGCTAGAGCTTTAAAACAACGACCTCTCACTTTATCCGGCTTTCTTTTACCATTGCACAACCATCAAAGGATCTCTCTCGGATTTTCTTATTAGTTTTTTTTTTTCTTCTATTTCTGTCTGTTGGAGTCTATTCGTTGATGAACCTACTCAATGCTTTTTACATTTCCTCATTTTCATGATCTTTTATGCAAGGTTTCCCTCTCTTCAGCGACCTGCTCTTCAGCTTCCTTCTCTTTCAAGCGCATTTCCCCAACCCTGAATCAGTCGATAACTGCAGGGCCGAATCGCTCTATACAGTTATCCCCACCGACACGTACAGAGTATTTCATTAGGTTTCGAGGAAAGCGATATCAATGTCTCAGACGTTAACAAGGTATGCAGAGCGCGTAGGGGTCACGTTTTCATACTATCCGCGGGTCCATGCCTTTTATATTTTCTGTCCATCTTCTTGAAGCCGGCTTCCTATTTAAATTCAATGAAGAATCGCTTCAGGAGGATATATCACATGGAGAGCTGTCCATAACTTATCTTTAAGCTTTCGCAGGACGCTAAATACAGACACAAACAATTGTTGTCGTCGAGAATGTCAATCCATTCTTGGCTTTGGCTTTGTATTTTCGCTATGTCTCATATAGTATCTAAGCGAAGATGCTATCCCGCCGACCAAGAACTGGCCCATCAACTTGGTCTATTGTTCCTCGAAATCCTGATGCAGAGCCGGGAATGGCATGTACCCGCGTACTGCTGCATATTCCATTCCTCATCACCAGCCTTGGTCGCGATAAGTACGAGAGGCCGCGTCTGGATTTCTCCTTCAACATATTGTCCTCCATCATGCGATTCATTGGTATTCTGTGCGTCTTGGGATTATCTGCTCTCAGCTCCGCACAAGTTTGATACTCCCATCAGAAGCGAACGAGCTACAGAAGCTGACACATCCAGGTGAACCTGGGAGCGGCCCAATCTTATGGTATTCTAGGTAAATCGACCGTCACCAACACCGGTAACACGACAATCGTCGGTGATCTTGGAACAGGAGGAATCAGCATCACAGGGCAAACCTCGTTGGTGGTCACTGGCCGAATCGTTATTGGCGATGAAACTCTCACAGCCTTCTCAGATGCCGGAGCCGCTTATACCGCGATCAATGGCTTCGGTCCCAGTCTGATACCAGGGATGGAGCTTGGAGGTCTGGTTTTGTCTCCTGGGGTGTTTAGATTCACCAGTAGTGCCCAGTTGACAGGAACGTTGACGCTCAATGGGACTGGTTCGCCAAACGATGCATGGTACTTCCAAATTGCATCAACCTTGACAACAGCACCGGATGCTGCTGTGGTCTTCATCGGGGGCGGAACACCCTGCAACGTGTACTGGACGGTCGGAACTTCAGCAACCATCGATAGAAGAACCTCATTTGCCGGAACCATACTTGCATCTGCTTCGGTAACATTCAATGGCAATGCTGTACTTCTTGGGCGGGCTATCGGGCTAACAGGGGCCGTTACTATGATCTCGAATGCTATAGTGGTAACGAATAATTGCCCGGTGTCCTCGTCTTCAACCTCTACCACACTGGCGAGCTCCACTCCGCCAGTTGGCCCTCCAGTTCCGACAGATTTATTTTCGATAGCTACCACCCCGCTTATACCTTCCGGTACACCACTATCCCAAGGTCCCGGAGGGCAAATACCTCCAAGTGTGACGGTGATACTGCCCGATTCTCAGTCGAGTGACACTTTGTCCAGGACAGTATCAGCTACCACCAGGTTAGTTTTAGATTTTGTTCGACTACGATTCTGTACAACTGGCTATACCCCTGCTTGATTTCTCTATTATCTTTCCTTGTTGAGGTGATTGACTTCCAGCTCATGTACAACAGCTCTCAGCTGCCTATTCCAGAAGTTCCCAGTCCTCAGACTGCCATTTTCCAGACTTTTAGCTCTAAAGTCGCCAGCCTCCAAAGTCTTGGCTTCCAGAGTCTCGGTTCCGAGACCTCGAGTTCTTACACCCCCGGGCTGCCAGCTGTTAGCTCTGGGGTAAGGAGCTCTCAGGTTGCAGATTCTCAGACTGTTCTCTCTCTATCCGCAAGCCTTTTACTATCTGGCTCCCAAGCTACAAGTTTTCAATCTGGCTCTCAGTCTTCCAGCTCTCAAACTACGAGCTCTCAAACTACGATTTCTCAAACTACGAGTTCTCAAACTACGAGTTCTCAAACTACGAGTTCTCAAACTATGAGTTCTCAAACTACGAGTTCTCAAACTGGCTCCCAATCTTCCAGCTCCCAAACTACAAGCTTTAAATCTAGCTCTCGAGCTGCGAGCTTTTCATTCCCCATTTCGCAAACTTTCAGTGTCCAAACTTCAAGCTCCCAAAATGCAAGCCTTAACGCTAACAGCGCCGAAACCTCTAGCTTAAGCCTTTTGACCTCGTCCTCGATATCTTTCGGATACCAAACTTCAACATTCTTGGACTCGACAATTACTACCTCGCCTCTTGCAACGTTCTCCAGTGTCTCTTTCACCGGGCTGGATGTAACGACTATGACCTTCCCAACATTGTCTGGATCTACTACATCTGGTGTCGAATCGGCGTCCAGTACCTCAGGAGATGCAGTCGGCAGTGAAAGTACTCGAACATTCTCTGGAACTACGACAGAATCGGAAGCAATGATCACCAACTCTCAGTTATTCTCTGCCTCGTCTGAAATGATTTCCGCATTGAACCCGACCGTGACCGCCGCGGTCAACGTTCCATTTTTTTCGGGATCGGTCACGATTCAAGATGTGATTACTGTTATAGTCACGACCATTTCAACTCTGACATCGTGTCCTCACAAAGCAACATGTACAGGACAGACCTCTACTGTACGTTAACATCCATCTTATATTTTCTATCGCTGACAAGTGTGTAGTGGACTGGATCCGAAGGGCCTCTGCCATGTTCTGCACATACGACATGCTCGTGTGTCCTTCCGGGTGGCACCAAGACCGTGACCGAGCTGATTACGCTCACCTCCTGCCCCCTCGAGAAAACCTGTACTGGGCAGAAATCCACTGTAAGTGCCGTAGAAAACCATTTCTGCCTCTGCTAACCACCTCAAAGTGGACCGGGAGAGGTGGACCACTCCCTTGTTCTGCTGGAGACAGCTGCTCGTGTGTGCTTCCCGGCGGCACGCAGACCGCCACCACCTGTCCAACTAGCTGTGCATGTAGTGGCCAGATAACAAAGTGGACAGGTAGTAATGGGCCAACTACCTGCGCTGCCGGAGTTACGTGTAATTGGGTGTTGCCCAGCACCGGGCCTGTGGTCACAACAGAATCGCTGCCTCATTTCATTCCCGGAGGAATGACTTCAAGAGACAGCGGAACCGTGGCTGAAGCAACTACCCTGCCTTTGCCATTTACTGGTGGCGCTTATAGGGCTTTTGAAACCAGCCTGGGTTTCTTTGCTGGGATTGCGGTGATTTTGCTGTGCACGCTTTGAGATTGGAGCCGCTCGAGCATTTTTCTTGTTAAATATACTCTAGACCTTCTGAGGCATGCTTTGGGGGGACCTGCGACTGCGACTTGATTGCTATGCCTAATCTGAATTGTTTCTACCCAACCGTCTGGATTTCATCTATGAAGTGTGAAAGCGCGCTAATCTCGCTTCAAAGGATAGCATGTAAACAGTCTTTCATGCTTCGTCTTGACCTTTGTACTCGAGGACTCGGCAAGCCCGATCTGAATTCACTTGAAGAATTACAATACCACGATAGCGTGTCTTGTTAGCTCGCTCGTGCTGATACCATGCGCTCGACTGCGAAAAAATAAGAGGCGCGTCGGGGGCCACAACTCTCATCCCACCAAACCTCAACCAACACCTCCGCATCGTCCGCCACCATGGATACCTCCGCGATGGACATCGACCCTCAAAACCCTGCACCTCCTGGTCTCGGAGAATGGCAGGACAGCTACGTCCACAACGGAAGGACGTTCTTCGTTGCTCACCAGGAAACTTTCTCCGAGTGCGATCTGCTTGATTCCCGTGAGCAAGACGGAATCACTGCCGTCGGCGCGGTCTCTCCATTCTTCTCGTCCAGCGAGCCTGCCGGCACAACCTTCAAGCCGCTCCGTAAGCGTAAGCGCAAATCATCTGTCTCCCCCCGTGTCGACTACCTAATGGGTGATGCTGAGGCAGAGCACTCCCGCCTCTTCAGCCACGACGACAAAAACAAAAATAACAACAACAGCAACGAATCCAATAACACCCCCGCCGCAACCTCAACCATCGCTCCCTCTCTCGATCCCACCTTAGCCCCAACCGTCGCCTCACACCTCCGCCCGCAAATCCAAATCAACCACGCAGGCAACGGCTTCCGATTCAAGGACCTCGACGAGAACGTCCGCGAAATAGTCTACAGCCTCTTCGTCATCAGCGAGTACCCCCTCTTCGCAACCTCGCCCCGCAGTCCGTCCACCAAGCCCAGCAGATTCCCCCACCCACACACGACCGAGCTCGCGATCATGCGCGTCGACCGGCAGCTGAACGTGGAGGCGCGCGCGGTCTTTTTCGCAGGCAACACCTTCGCGTTCGGGTGCGGCGCGTACGGCTCCCCCACGGAGGCCAACTTGCACGGCCTGGAGCTCTTCGTGGCGCTCGTGCCGGCCGTCGACGTCGGCCGTATCAGGAAGATCGACTTGCATCTGTACCTCCCCGAGGGCTGGCTCAAGATTGTTGGCCGCGGTGGCGGCGCCGGCCGCGAATGCGTCGAGCGCGGGGTGCAGGAGACGCTGCTGGCTCTCGGCCGGTTGTTGGAGGGTAGCCTCGCCGGCGTGGAGGAGGTCACGATTGAGCTTGTTGGTGTCGGCTGGGGGCTGGGTGCGACGACGGAGAGGGGGGCTCCGCGGGCGGTTCAGCTTCAGCGGCAGGAGAAGCTCGATGCGCTTCTGGCGTTGGTGGTCGGTATGGAGAAGTTGAGTAAGGTATTCTTGCGCATGACGGGCGACCGTGGTACTTACTACCCACTCGTAAATATGCTTTACCATCTGCCACGGCGCAAGTTCTCGATTATTGAGCAGCTGGTTCGGGGTATTAAGGCTGGATGCCGGCCGATGGTCGATTCTGCACCGAGGGCAACCGGAGGGCTGGGTAGGGGTTACATCGAGCCTTAATTAGCTACCGAGAGATCGTACAAAGGAAGGTTACACATTTGGTATGGATTGGAATTATCCTCCTGCTTGGTACTACAGGTCTTGATAGGATAGTGTGCCAGCTAAAGCATTCTCGAGCGGGATGTTTGCAAGGCATTTGAGATTGGCTGTGGGCCGCTGATGGCATCTTTGCGAAGCAGATGTTAGGACCTTGACATTATCCATCTGCCAATCTCTAGTCTTTCAGATGATAGGAATGTCGATCGGTCCACCACTAGGAACTTGTCTTTCTTTTCCGGATAATTCTCACACAGTTGCTTGCCAAACTGCTTGACGGGCAGCTTAGACCCTAACGAAAGGTGATCGCTTGCAGAATCTTGGTAATCCGCGAGGGAGAAATAGCTATGAATATCACCAAGAGAGGCATTGTTGTCCAGTAAACTATCCTCCTCCCGTATAGTTCTGAAATGGGTGCTGCTATCAGAGGGCCAAGGACGAAACCGAATGTGTACATTGACAGCGGAAAGATGGCTATCTCTCGTTCAACGTGAAACTGTGACATTATCAAGGGTATGGCTGTGTATGCGGATGTTGCTACCGTGCTGGTTTTAATTAGCAGTAAAGCGGGTATAGGCGTAGATGAATATATCCACATGATGAAGCCGAATAGTGCTGGAATCATAGTGTGGAAAACTTTCTTTCCAAATGACCAGTTTTGAATATTGCCAATATCATCTAGAGCATCCTAATCCATTTTCGCCAAAGGGAACGCATTTTCAAAATGACTTCCTCCTGCCTGTGTTTCTGTACCCTCGATGTCATGGTGAGGTGTAGGTGATGTGGAATGTTATGAAAGAGCTGCTGCTTCGAAGTCCTTTTCGGAGGACATGGCCTCGTCTATATCAAGCAGTTTGATAGAATGTTTATGAACTGACACAGTATGGAAGGTTCATACTATATGACTTTAAGATGCAGGACGATGCTGTGAATCAAGTTTTATTTATTGTACAATATAAATCGCTGGGAGAGGAGTAGAGAGATCATTCTGGCCTCAACTAATGTACCAAGTCTATTGACTCTCGCATACGCACGCACAGCAAGGCAAAAGTCCGTCGCCGCCCCGAGACTACAGAGACCCTCGGTTCCGACTAAACATATCGGCTAAGCTGCAGGAAAGGAGGCTGCTGGATGGGTAACAAGACGACCAGCCAGTTCTTGACAGACGAGTCGGCGTTTCAACAGACCGAAAATTAAATGGACATGAAAGCAATATGTACGGATTTGGATCAGAAGCTTCTCTTCTGTCTGGGCCTCCATCGAATGAATGGAAGCCAAAGTCAACACCGTCAAAGATAGGCGACGCTTAGCGATCGAAATGCTCACTTGAACAAACCAACGTCTACCGTGGCCTGAAAAAGCATCAAGTGGAGTAAAAATCCGATGCGAAATGCTGGGTTTGAAGTGTTACGGACGAGAGGTTGCCCGAGCCAGCAAGCTTTACAATTCTATTACATCAACATAGTAATCACGCCCGCCGAGGTCTTGATATGTCAGTCACGTGTGCAAATAATCCGAAAAACAAACCACTTGTATGGGGCTAGAGATCGATAGTGATATATGCTTTATCATATATATTTGGGCTTATTTTGAATTAATCCTCTGCAAAGAAATCTAGTAATCCTACGTACCCAAGTTCCAATGGAAGTTTCCTCGATGCGGCCGGCGGCGTCTCCCTAGCTCCGAGGCTTCACACCTAAATTTGCGCATTACCCGAACACAACTTCAACGACAAGCTATGATTATACGGTCTCCCACAACGAACGCCCTTGGATCCAATAGTCTCAGCACCGTGTGTCTGTCATGTCTACTGTCGACAGCAAGGCCGGCGCGCCGGACGGTGACGAGGAACTTCTCGCAGAAATCTAACGTTAAAGCTGCGCTGGCAGCAGCCGGATCGACTCCTTCGACTCCGAATCCACGATTGAGGGCTGGGTATTTCTCTGCGAACGCGATATTGAATCGAGTGCGGTCGGTTTCGAATAGGGGAGCCGGGACGACTGCAATACCGGACTCGAGTTCTATCGTTGGGGAGCACGAAGTTGCGAAGTTCTCATCTACATCTATCCGCGCCACTCCGACATCAAAACAAGATCTCCCTCACCGACGACGACAGGCTGCGCGACGGGCAGCAAAAGAAGCAGATCTCGTTCTGCCGGAGAACTCGTCCTCCAATCTCTCTACATCCGCCGCCAACGCCCCCTCGAACTCCATACGACGGCTGATCCCCGTCCTCCTCTCCCTCTCGAAACCCCGCCTCTCGGTGCTGGTTGTCCTCACAGCTTGCGCATCCTACTCTCTATACCCAGTCCCCGAGCTATTACTCCCATCAGCGACCGATACGCCATCTCTCTCTCCTCTGACCTTGCTCTTCCTCACGACTGGTACAACGCTGTGCGCCGCATCTGCAAATGCCTTCAATATGCTGTACGAGCCCAAATGGGACGCCATGATGTCCCGCACGAGGAACCGCCCCTTGGTACGAGGTCTGATATCTACACGAGGAGCAGCCTTGTTCGCCATCCTAGCAGGAATTGGCGGAACAACCGCCCTCTACTTCGGGGTCAACCCGACAGTTTCCTTCCTCGGAGCACTGAACATTGCCCTCTACGCTGGAGCCTACACGCCCCTGAAACGAGTCAGCGTGATAAACACCTGGGTCGGTGCAGTCGTCGGCGGGATCCCACCACTCATGGGCTGGGCCGCAGCCGCAGGACAATCCGCGACGCACGGGGACTGGAGAGAGCTTCTGCTGGGCGAGCACAACATCGGCGGCTGGTTACTCGCAGGGCTACTGGTGGCGTGGCAATTCCCGCATTTCATGTCGCTCTCGTGGTCCATCCGGGAGGAATACAAGAACGCCGGCTACCGGATGCTCTGCTGGGTGAGCCCTGCCCGCAACGGCCGCGTCGCGCTCCGCTACTCTCTCCTCTTCTTCCCAATCTGCGTCGGGCTGTGCTACTTTAACGTCACGGAGTGGAGCTTTGCCGTTGCCAGCGCGCCCGTCAACATCTACCTCCTGCGAGAGGCAGTCAGGTTCTGGAAGCTGGAGGGACACAAGGGGAGTGCCAGGGGCTTGTTCTGGGCGAGTGTGTGGCATCTGCCTGCGGTGATGATCTTGGCCATGGTCGAGAAGAAGGGGATGTGGCAGCGCGTGTGGAGGGCTATTGTCGGCGAGCCGGACCTGGAAGACGAGGAGGATGGGGAATACTTGGATGAAGAAGAGGAGGAGGAAGAGGAAGACAGAAAGGCTGCGGTGCGTACTAGGGAAGGGAAAGGGAATGCTATTCTCGAAGCGCGTAATCCCGCTATCCCTCTCTCTGTAAGATGAAATTAGATGATCTGGGAGGGCGATGGGGGAGGGGGAGGGGGAGGGGGAGGGCGTTGCTGTTGTCGTCGTTGCATCCACTGATTGATTGATGAATTGACTCGGTGAAGCCTGTATTAAAACAAACCAAACCAAACCAAACCTGGACTGGACGGACCGCATTCTTTTTTTTCTCGGTAAAACTTGTAGAGTAGATACATAGATGGATAGATAGATAGACTACGTCAACTAGTAGGTATTTCCAAGCTATCTTATCGTGTCGTGTCAAATCTGGATCTCATCTCGTCTTTCGTCTAGTCTTTCGTCTCGTCTAGTCACTAACCAGGTTGGTAGGTAGGTATGTAAAAACAGGGATGGTTTCTTTTGTATCTGTATCTGTATCTGTATTCGAAACATTCCAATTTTGCATCACCTCTTCTTTCTTTTAGATTCTGTCGGAGTTATTGATTGGGATGGTTGGACTGGTTGAATGTCTCTCTCTCTCTCTCTCTGTGTGTGTGTGTGTGTCTGTATATGTGTGTATACCTATCTATATGTGTGTGTGTATGTGTATGCACATGTATGTATCGAAAAAGAGATACAATCAAATCATACAATCAAATGAGATAAAATGAAGGAGTGGAAGGAAGAGAGAGAGAGAGAGAGAGAAGCAAAAGCAAAAGCAGTCTCGATAATTAACGTCGTTAAAAGTAGAAAGTAAAAGTAAACAGATGTTTTAGCCTCCTAGCTCCTAAGCTCGCTTACGCCGAAAAAAAAAAAAAAACCCCCCCTCTCTTATCCAGCCCCGGCCCCAGCCCCAGCTCCAGCTCCAGCCCATGTCTATCTATCTATCCATCTATCTTGTTTTCCAAACAGACCAAATAAAATAAATAAAATAAGATAAAAAAGAAAGGCCTGCCTCCTTTTGATTTTTATCCCCAGTTTCGTTGACGTTCGTTCGCTTATGCATATTATATATATGCATGTCTGATGAAGGCGATTTCAACCGATAGAAAGATATCGATGAGATGAGCAAGTAAGTAGGATAGAACTCTGTTCCTCCCACTTGGGCCTCCCGCCTGATCTTAGCTCCCCCCCGTACGATTTACCCCCGTGCGATTAATGATGGCTCCAATCCCCATATCCATACTCGGCAACCTCCCCTGCCCGTGGTGCTGTTGCTGCTGCTGCTGACTGAGAAACCTCGGATCCCCTCCTGCCCCTGTCCCTCCCCCTCCGTTAATGTTGATATTGACGTACCCGCCCATACTCCCATTGCCGCTGATGTTACTGTTGCTGTTACTCCCGTTGGAAAGCGAGTGCGAATGCGGATGCGGGTGCGAGTGCGAGTGGTAGTGGCCGCCCTGATATCCAGTCGAGGAGCGGTCTGAAGCGTACCCCGGCTCCAAGTCGAGGTCGAGATCGTCAGGATCGGCGTCGGCGTCGGCGTAGCCGGAATCATCGGCTTGGTGGTCGAAGGGTTTGGTCGTGGTGGTGGTTAGAGGGTAGGCGTTGTTCTGGCTGTGGGAATGGGGATGGTGTTGGGAAAGATGGGAGGACGAGGACGAAGAGAAGTCATGTTGAGAGTGTGGCTGGTTGGGGGAGAGGACCAGACGTTCGCGGCGGGCACAGGAGCGGGCGGCTGTTTGGAGATTTTTGAGGCCTTGGGCCATGCACTGTTTTAATTGTCAGTGGTTGTGGCTTGGCTTGGGAGAGAGAGGGAAGAGACATGAAGGAAGGGACGGGAAGAAGCCAAGATGTAAAGGAAGGGGGGGGATATGAGGGTCTGTAGCATAACATCGCCTATCGGGAAGAAAATGGAAGGAAAGGGAAAGAAAGGAGTAAAGAGATATACACACCTTCTGCTCAACCACGTTCCACTTCTCTCCCGTTTGCGCCGCAAGCGAGGCCCATATCTCCCGCCGCATCACCATGTAATGCTTCGCTAGATTCTCGAGCTTCAATCCGTCCCAGTCGTCCGCGCTACGTCTTTCCATCAGCCGCTCGTGCCGCTTGCGACATGCATTTGGCGTCTTGGACGGGAAATACGTGGTTTGGATCGGGGCCCAGTTGAGGCCTTGTGCCCTGGCTGCCATGAGGGTCTGGTCGTCTGCGGGCGTCCAGGCACCGCTGGATGCGCGGATGGGTACCGGGGCCTGGGGCGCAGCGGGAGGCATGGATTGGTACTGTGGTGCAAGGGGGTGTTGGACGGGACCACCGTTGGAGACGTAGCTAGATGGGCCTTGCGGGTAGCCTCCTTGTTGTGACATGGTGTTGTTGGGTGCGGAGCTGTAGTACTCGCCCGGGAGTGTGGTTCGGGCGGAAAGGGGGGCGTATTGTGTTGCTGTTCTTGTTGTTGTTGTTGGGGTAATGGAGATGGGGTTTATGCGGTAGGAGCCTTGACTTCTAACAGAGCGGTGGCCTTTGGGCATCTCAGACATGGATAACAAAGAGTGGAGATGTATATGTGACTGCTCCCGAAGCCACGAGAGTGACGACAGATGAGTAGAGAGAGTTCGAATTAAGAATTAAGATACCTCGCCAGGAGGATTGCGTATCAAATGAAATGAACGACGACGACAACGATAGAGAGGAGGGAGATATGAAACGATGAAGACTGGAAAACTCGCATCGAGGGGTATCTTGGGTGGTTACGAAGGAAAGCGAAAACACAGAAACGGAGTCGCGGAGAGGCTCTACAGAAGAAGCAAGAAGGTCGGAAGGCCTGGCAGAGAAGACCGGATAGTCGTCTCTTATACAAAGTTGCTGCGAAACATGATGCAGCAGAGAAACCAAGAGATCAACGATGGAGAGGGCGCCAAACAAAGATGCGTCTATAGCCTTCCTTACTGACTGACGCCAGCGCGAGCGCAAATATCTTGGACTGCACCTGAATCGAGACCCCTTACTAAAAGATGAAACGGAGGCCTTTCTGCTTTTAGAAAAGAATGGGATGGCCGCGGGAAGAACAAAGGCTGAAACCCCCAGGCGCGATCGAGATGGCCCGGGGGAGGATCATCGAGTCTCGCCCGAGGACCGTTGGCCGCATGGCCGGTCCTGATATTGGTCGCGAGGACGCAGGGGCGGACGCGGGAGAACAATCTGAGAGGGAAAGGGGGAAAGAGGCTCTGTTCGTCGGCGCGTAGGTAGCGAGCTGGCGGTAAACACCTCAGACAGGGGAGGCGGGAGATGCGGTGCGGCGCTTAATAGTGGAGATGGGGGTGGTGGAAGTCAAAAATAAGTCGATGCGGCAATTCGGTCTCGAACTTGTGAGGGAGCGGAAGCTAGACTGACTGTCTGTGTAATGATTGCTGCTGTTGTGCTGAACACAATTCGTAAGACATATGTATATATTCCTAAGAGGTGAAGTATTAGCGAGACAGCATTAGCGAGACAGCTGGGCAAAGTCAGCTGATCCTCCGATCATGAAACCAGACAGGTTGACTGCAGAAGTCCATATCGAGATATCAAGTCTGTAGTCGTAAAGGCTGGTATATTAACTCTTCTTCTAGATTGTTCGTCGTCTTCTGAAACTCCAGATGCTGTCTGTCTGTCCTATGGGATGTGGTTGAATGGGCTGGCAATGGCAGAGCCGCCGTCCGGGCGCTTAGATTATTATATAAGGTTCTCGCTTACCGCAAGTACTTCGGTTGACGCTAAATATATAATATGGTTGCTAGCATCGTCACCTGTTACTACGTAGATTTCTAGTTAAGAAGCATGAGAGGACCATGCATTAGGTAAAGGTAAATTCCTTGTACTTCGTATGTCTCTATGTGTTTCTGTGCTGTGCTGTGCTGGGATGCTCATAGTCATGACTTGTAATCTATGACTGATATACTGCGTATCGTCTGCATATCGTCGACTTATATTACTAAACTAACTTGGTTACTTATTGACTAACTATTTAATTCACCTTATGCATCCTCTTGTTCTTCTCGGGCTCTACACACATATAAACATTTACATTTTGGTAAGGACCTAACATATTAGGTTGATTGATTGGTTGGGTGGAGCTCTATAGCCTAGTATCTTAATCTTATTATCATAATGTTGTGCAGAAGCAGACCTGCGACGCACACTGCAGTTTCCGGTATTATAACCCTACGCCGCACGACACATATTAGATTGTGTGTCTTTTAGCGTGAAAGATTAAGCAAGAGTGAGTCAGCTTCTATAATTTGTTTTTCTCTTATGTCGAGGAAGCGGCTGTGTCACTGGGTACAAGTCATTCTTTGCAATATATATATATATATATATATTATGGTTTATTCTTGATTATTTCATAACTTCTTTGACTCCGTGTAGATATGTAGATGAATGGATGGATAGATGGATGGGTATAGCACAACCGGCCGAGTCTGCCCCCGAA